AGGGCAAAGGGCATCTTTGCAACTACTGTTATTGTGGAAGAGTAAAACAGTGTCACTTGGAGATGAGTCTACATTTGCGGGACCATCAAAAGGCAAACACTGAGGCAACTCAGTGATAACCCTGGAGCTGCTTTCAGAGAAAGCCCTTTAACAAGTTCATTACAGATGTAAGTTGAAGATCACAAATGTTTTATAAACAGCGAGAATGTTGTATTCAGTCAATTCATCTTGCCTGAGATGACAATGCCATGCACAAGACACCCCCAAGAGTGGCTTCAGAGAATACAAGAAAGTTGCTTCCATTTTCCAGAGCACTAGAAAGGAGTCATGACACTGAAGGTTTTACTCAGTTCCTCATTGCTATTTGTAGCACAAGGGAATAACATCAAGTTTCTTAGGAGCTGTTTGCTCTTAAGAGTTTCAAGCCCCGAAGTAATTTTAAAAATTCCATTATGACATATATTTTATAAAAACAATATGCAGCTATAACTTCTAGACGGTGTTTATATGTGGTACATCTTCTATAACGAGAAGGAAAATGAGTGCTGAAGCTCTCATAACCAAGGAAAATCATGGATCTGTTGAGTTGCTATTATGTCTGGATGTGCAGAGCTTCTTCATTATCATCTTATTATTCATCTGTTACTGAAGACATCTCCAATGCAATGAGAATTGTTGGAAAGTCTGTAAACATCTTTAAATTCAGAACAATATGCCATTGCCTGCTGGAAACTTTTCTGACAAAATGGAAGTCTGTTTCAACAGCTGAGCGGGTGCCAGCCTACAGTGATTTTTCACGTCATTGAAAGAAATGGATGAAATTAGGAATCAAAAGGAGAAGGGCTTAGCTTAGCCAGCCTATATTGAATGAGTGTTTAATTTGGCTTCCTCAGGTGATTCTGATCAGGTGATGTTTCCTTAGTGAACTCAAACCAAAGTGCAACGCCAAGGAAAATTTGCATTTGATTTACAGATGAGAGAAAAGTGAAACCATTCAAGAAGAATGCAAAAAGTCAGCAGAGAAAAAAGATAGATAAAGCAATCAAATTTCTGCACTTGAGAAAATACTTGAAGATCACAGAATATTTATAAGTAGAATTCATTTAGTGTTTCTCGGATTTCAGGTCCCAAGAGCAAGCATTTGATATTTTTCAAGGGCCTTATACTTGTGACTCAGAAAGTCCTCCAATACAGATCTCCAGATCCAGCTGTTAGAGTTTATTGACTTCAAGTGAGTATAGAGACAAAGGTTTGAATGAAGTATGACTGGTTTCTGTCAAAGGCTGCTATTATGAGCTATACAGTGTTTATTCAGTTCTACCATTACCATTGTTGAATCTCTTCCTACAGAAGAAGGAGAAAATCTTTTCCACTGTGATTATACATTAATTAAGGAGCCTAAATTCTGATCACTGCTGACGAATGCCTGCTTTCTCCTGAACTCTCACACCATGACCTGCATAAACCCTACTGACACATCAGCTGAGTAATGATGGTCCCTATTGTAACTCTGCACATGTAGGCACAGTGCATCAGTTTGACATAAAGGTGCTGGATTGCAGGTAATATGTTTCAGCAGCTGCTGGCCAAATGTCCTACACTTCAAATGACAAAACATGACTCAAATGTGAGGAGTCAGTCTTTGAAAGATTTATTCCTGTAATCTTCACTGATGGAGTGGAGGAGCCTGTGCAACACTCGTCCACCACCAACTGAAGTCAGTGCTGCAGCATACAGCAGGAGTAGGGCTGCACCAGCTCTTGCTGGTACAGCAATAAGCTGTGATACATCAATATTGCAAAGAAAACAAAGATTAGCTATTTCAACCTATTCCTACCATTTTACATATAGTAAGATATTATTTTCTATGTAGAGGGTAATTCCCCTGAAGGACACCACGATTAAGTGGCAAATTAATTTGCTGCTTACATTCACTAGCTCTTCCAGCTGGCTTAATTCTCATCAGCCACCATAATTTATTAACAGTGAGGTGAGAAAAGACATGAATCAGCTTAATGTGCTATAAGTAGGGCATTGTCATGGCAACAAGATGCGGACTGTTTTCTACTATTTATATATGGTTTGTTTTGTACTCAACCTTGAGATACCGCTTGAAACAACTAGAATTAGAAACATCATTTTTTCAACTTTTTTTTCACTTCAGTGTATTTTTAAAAAATTATCAAAATAAGCATGTGAATGGCTCTGAAACATCTATCCAGGAAAATAGCTAGCTGTATGCTATTCAATGAGTCTTCCTAGAAACAGAAGCCTTAACTCTGATCTCCCAATCATTTTCTCACATTGTCACACAACCGATTCCATGGATTAACTCCCAGTTTATACCAGTCTGAGATCAAACCCAGACTTTCCCTATTCTGTGTTCTACACATGACAATTAATGGGGGGGAGGGAAGGGGGAACTGAACAGTGTTACTGAAAAAAGAAGCTGCTTTTTTTTTTTTTTTTTTTTTAAATGTAATACATTGTACTTAACACAGGACATGGAAAAACAATCAAGGATGTTGCATTTTTACAGACTCATGGTAGGGAATTATAAAGTTAAAAATTAAAAATTAATTGTAAAGGATTTTTATTGCCTTCCCAGATAAGCCTAAATCCCACGTACCTTTTGCATCATCAATTAATGGTTTTCACAAAATCATCTCTTCACTCAAAGTTAATTTTATTTACTACCCAGATGCATAAAGGGAATGGTTGGAATGCTAACACAGGCCTCTGAGAAACAATTACCAATATTACTGGCTTGATTTCTTTTTTTTTTCCACCACCACAGGAATCTGATAATAAATAGTTAATGAAAATCAAAACATGTCTAAGATGTGTCAGGAAGAACACATGGAAAAATTAAATCCCTTTCATGAAAAATTTTGCAAGCTTAAGACATTGTTTTGTTCTGAGTAAGGACAAAAAAAACCCCAACACATTTGAAAAATTCAAATAATTATTCCCCTTTTCTCCATCCAGTACTCTCTTTTTTTTTTTTTTTTTTAACATGTCAGGGTTTATATTACCCTAGGTGTTTGTTTGCATAATACGTAGGGTAACAGGCAACTGGATTGTACCATAACATAAAATAAAATTGTTCTTATTTAGCAACCTGAGACAAAATATTAAACAATATAATTTTGAATTCAAAACTTATGTTGAGTTACAATTGAAAATGTTCAGTTGAGCACTGCTAAATGATACCTGCTGAGGTCAACTGTAGAAGTTAATTAAGAAATGAGAGATCTGGACAGACCTTACCTAAAGGTTCAATGGATTCGTTCAGTCAGTGTTACTAATGGCCCCAAATACACAAGAGCTGATAGCTGTTAATTAAAAATGCTCTACGGAGGCCAAGTCGGGGGAATGCCAGTCTTGTTTTCAACAATTCTTTACCCCATGTCAAGTTCAGCGAGAAGTGGGTCTGAGCTGCAGAGTTTGGCTGGGGGCCTGGATCTAATATGACACATAACAAGCAGGTATGCCAAAACATTTGGTGGGCAGCATGAACAGAGGCGTGCGCCGCGTACAGCAAGCTGGCAGCGTGCTTTAACCGGAGGTGCTGTATGACTGATTACATTGCTCTAGCACTCAGGGGCCCCGCTACATGCCAGCTCCCCTGTGCAAACGGTATTGTTAGAAATAGAAGACAAAAGACAAAGTCATCCCCCAAACCCTATGGTGAAACAGGGGAAAGCATGCTGGATTGTCACTGCAGGCCCCAACATGTGCCTCCCGGGATCGCCATGTGAAGCACCCTGGGTGCTCCTTCCACGGGCGGGATGCACTTTTCAGCGAGCCTTGGCCATAAGGTGGTGGAACAAGCATTACTGGGGGAAAACAGAATAGTCTGGGACATGCTTGCCCTTGGATAACACATCACTCATGCCATTGGTGGCAGATTTTGCCTGCAATGAATTTATCCAGTGGGAAGTGGTTTGTGACCAGTGCACTTCACAAAAGCTATGAAATCATCGAGAAACAGTAGTGACTTTCCCTGACCGCTGGTCCAGGCAGCAGAGCCAGCCCCATGAGCCACTCTGTCCCTCACAACTAGCACCTTTCAGCAATAATGAATGAGCTGTCAGATATCCAGCTGCTTATACAACATGGTCCAGTCCTTTCCTGGATACTTTTTCATTGCTCGAGCTACGCTCTTTAAGGTTGCAGCGTCTAATGGACAGATTACATTTCAGCTATCTTCTCTTTGCACAGAAGGTGATTATAGTTAACTTGGAAAGGAAAGGATATTTTCAAAACTGGCTTGTGATCTTTTTTCCTTCCTTAAACGTAAGAAGACAGTCTGAAATGTTTCTCCCTCCATGATATTTTTGACTACTCAGAGCCACAGCATATGTCCATTGTGTTGGCGAAATCCTGACTGAGTGGGTGAGAAGGCTTACCCCTTACACAAGACTTCCTCACTCACACAGTGAGTGCTTTTCTGATGTTAGAGGTGTGTTAACAACACCCCAAATATTATTTTTTTTTCCCCCAGTATGGGCATTGTGTCCCAGATTGCTACAGGTCCTGGGCTACTGCAGGTAGCTGGTGTGGCTCCTTTGTGCTCATCCTGACTACAGGTAAGTGCACTGAATGACACTGTATCAAAACAGAACAAACTGAATCCCTGCCCTTGTGCAACTACCTGATGCTTTCCTTGCATGGAAAACGAAGGCTATACAGCCTCACCCTTTCCAAAGCCAGCCCTCGTCTATTAAAAATGACTATACGCTTTGATACCAAATCCTTCTTTGCAGTTTTCAGCTTATGCCTGTGGGAAGTAATAAGTAAAAATGTATTAAGTATTTGTTGTTTGACCCTAAATCAGTCTTTCCACCTCCCTGGGATTCTTGCTACTGAAATGGAAGAGTCCACCAGGGAAACAGGACTTTGGAAAATGCTTCATTATTTGCCCTAGTGTTATGTTATTTAAAACTTAATTTTCATTTTAATGAGAAGTATCACTGGTATCATGTATCTCTCCTCAGTCCTGAAAAAATGTCAGAAGAAGCAAGAACAAACCCCAGGATGGAGCTTACGGTTCCCAAGATGAGGGAGGAAGAAGGAGATGTCTAGGTGACCTGACATTTAAATCAAACCCTGGGAAATGTGAGTCTGGGCAACCATTTGCAGAAACAGCTAGAGGAACCACATATCCCATAGAAAGCAAACAGGAGGCAGCGGCCTTCTGAATGTGCTGTACCAGCCCATGCCTCGGGGGAAGAGCTTCACCAAGAGGTCTGGAGGCAGAAGTTCTTTACTCAGCTCAACGGTATTTTGAACTCCTCACCTTCCTGCAACACCTAAATTCTGGTCAGGAAATACTGTTTTTGTTGGTAAAGAGCCTGTTGTTTTTTTCAGGAGATTACCTTGAAATTAGGAGATTAACCCTGCTACGTGGAGTCAGGGGAGATCCTTGCCCAATTTGGGAAGTTTGGGCTTCAAAATGGAGACTCTGAAGACCATGGTGAGGAGCCAGCTCTTCATCAGCTGGAAGGAATGTCTCTGATTTTGGCTTCAGATAATGACACTGGATATAGGACAAGACAACTGAAAAAGATTTAAAATACAGAAGATGAAGAATACATGTCACATCGCATTCATGCCATGTAATTTAAAAGACAACAAATCAGTAAAAGCAGACACTATTTTGCATAACACATTGCAAAATTCTGCAAGAGGTTTAGTGTGTAGAGGGCAACCGCTGGGTATTGAATGACTTAGTAAGTAAGACTTTTAAAAGGTCTAAAATGACTGCTATGAATGGCAGACGCAAAGAAAACCTTGTGAGGGTTTGCAGAAGTTGCTGTGTTAACCACGGTGATTTTTCAGAAAAACATTATCTGCTGTTGTGAAGAAATGCTCTTCCTGATAGCGCTACACAGAATAGTTAACTATATTTCTGGAGGAAATTTGATTTATCCCAATGAAGCATCTTGCAGTCACTGTGTTAGAAGCAGTGCTGCTGATAAGGTCAGCTTTTGATCTAAGAGCTGTGCTGTGGGAAACATGACCTAACAGTTTATTTCTATATAGGGGACCATATATCTCAGGCTTGGGGTTGAGTTTCCCAGTATCCACCGAGATATCTATTCGCACTGAGATAGATTAACCAATGAAAATAAGGCAACATGCATAGCTGATAGGGAAGATGAATAATTTTGTTAAATTCATAAGAAAATGAAGATTGATTTAGGCAATATTATTAGTTTCCTAAAATATATGTAAAAACTTCATATGCTTTATGTACTTCTCACAATACAGCAAGGACTGTCAAGACCTAAAGTTGCTTAAAATGCTGGCACCACTCTGATTTGCAGTTTGTGCCCATTTCCTTAGGGATTGATAATGATCTGGAGAAGGCCATGTTCAGTAGAGTCCATTTCTTAGCTTACCTCTTAATGCTTTCTGAGATAGCCATCAGGGAGAGAAGAGCAGAAAAGACTTTTTCCCACCCTATACAATGTCCCAAGCTTTGAAAAGCACCTCTGTTCTCCAGTGCACCCAACCCCGGCCCTTGGCCAAGAGAGGGAGAAAAAAACAGGGCCGGAGGTAGAAAGGGCGGTGGTTTTTCAGTGAGTGTCCAGCCGCCAGTGAGGCCCATCAGCAGAGCCCCGTCCCCATCCCTTCCTTGCCAGAACCTCACCGAACAACCGCCTGGCCCTCCAGCCCCCGTGTCCTTGCTCAGGGCATCACCAGGAGCCCCTGTGCAGAGAAAAACCACAGGAGAGCAACCGGTTCCCTGCTTTGGGGAAAGTGGCACCAGGGGAAGCATCTCGCAGCTATTTTGTGGGCGCAAGCGGTACACTCCCACAGGAACTGTTGGGCAGTCGGCGTCCGAGGTGAAGCGGGACGGCTGGAAAGCTCATGGCGGCCCGAGCGGGGGGTGGCAGGGCCTGTGCCCCCGGCCCGGGCAGGGCACCACTCCAGGCGGGCAGCTCCAGAATTTAAAAATTAAAGTTTGCCATCTAGCGGTAGGCCTTGGGCTTTTGGGTGCGACCCCCCAGTTTTTAGGTGATCTGTTTACGATTTCTGAAACATATATTCATTTTTTTGTTAGTGCTGTCGCACCCTTCCTGCTGCTACGTCTGTACAAGTGACGAACAGAACACTTTTAATCTCAGTACATTGCCTCCTGTGGCCGGGTCGGTGGTTACAGCTCTGGGGCCCGGTCAGTGGCACAGCTCCCTTGGTTGTCACACCGTGCAATGGAGATGGTCCTGTGTAGTACTAAATCCTCGGTGATTAAAAAAAAAAAAAAAAAAAAAACCAAAACAACCCAAACCACAAAAAAAAAAAAAAAAAAAATTTCACCGTGATAAAACAAATGAGGCAATGAAATGCAGTCATTTCCCTCCATGTTCTTCTCTTGCCTGGGACAGTGGTAATTCTCAGGGGATTGTCTCCTTCTTTCTTTCTTTTAAGTATTTCCCCTTTGAACTGAGGTGCGTCTATGAGTGACTGGCACTGAGTTTGTGTGGTACTCCCTTGCTTCAGACCAAAGCTGCCAGGAGCCAGCACATCTCCAGAAGCACGCGTCCTCCTCGACAGAGTCCCTGCGAGCTTCCTCCGAGCAGTGCGTGTTGCCTATATGGGATCCTGCATGCCTCCAGGATCTATATGGAGACCGCCCCTGGCGTCACCAGTCATTTCTTTCCATGAGAAGGAACGATGCGAGGCAGCAGGAGTATGGGCAATGTTTTCTGAAAATAAGAGGTCAAGGAACCTTCACAGGGGAAGCCAGCAAAGAATGGCTGTGGCTGGGGAAAGGGCCTGCAGAGGGGAAAGGGAAGGTCTGGAAGGTGATGGGCAGTGTGATCTCCTTGGGTGCCCGGGTTGTGATTAAGGAGATGTAGGCATCCAGCCTGACGCCTGCACAGTCTCTCCTCTTCCATACACATCACTTCTATTAACAGAACTCCAGGTGGGATTAGCAATTTTTACAGCATAATCACATTGTTGAGTCATATTTAATTTATGAACCACTATACACACAAGATCATTTTCTCCTATTGACGCTGAGCTGATTATTTCCCATTTCAGATTTATGCATTTGATATCTCCCTCTGCAGTGTAGCACTTCATACTTGTCATTAGCGAACTTCATCTTGTTGATCTGAGACTATCTCTTCAATTTATCATTTTGCATTCTGATCCTGCCTGCCAGACTGAGAAAATTTTCTAAGTATACTCTATATTTATCCTCCAAATCACTAATAAAAATATTGACTAAAATCAGTCCTGAAGATCTCTGCACATCTGCTTGGAATACTCTCTTGAAATTTACTTCCAGTTTGACATTGAGTCATTGGCAGTAATACTTTGAGAGTTTTTTCATCTATTTGTATACACACTGATAATCATAATTTTGCATAAACTGCATTTTGATGGCTTATATGTAAGAATTCAGGTTACTACTGCAAAAGGTCTTAAATATATTGTCTACTCTTTCTTCCCATCATCAGTATTTAGAATACAGATAATTATGTCCTACAAAACTGTGTCAATGCAGCTATGTCAGAAAAGAGCAATTTTTGCCACCTCCTTCAAATGTATTCATTTCAATAAATGAGAATTAAGTCTCCTTCTTTAATGAAGGAACTGATGAGGAGTAAGCCACTTAATTTATATTGAGAGTCCAGAGGAAAAAAAAAAAAAAGCTCTGTACCTTTGCATTTGACTTTGTGTGCAGTATCAGCACAACAAAAATATTTGCTGATGGTGTAGATACTCCTTAATATAGCACATAGGACAGAAATTATGCAAGCACCTATTAATCCTAAAATAGAATTCCTGGTAAAAAGTGAAAAAAAAGAAAAGGACTTAATAACCATAACTGTGGCAGTTTTACTGCTAGCATGTAATTAGATCAGAAGAAGATGATTTCAAAATGTCCAGAGCTTAACTGCTTCCTGCTATTTAGGTGATCTGTTTCTGATTCGGAAGCTGCAGTTCATCTTATATTTTTAAGAACTTCTTCAGGGCCCACATCCCCAGAGTGGGAGGAGGAGGATGCTCCTTCCCAGCCTCTGGATTTTGTCGTTTGCAGAGGAAAAGTATCCAAAAAAAAAAAAAAAAAAAAAAGGTGACATGCTTATAAAGGGGCTTGTTTTTTCCCTGCATGAGATCTCTCACATGTAATGTCTCTGTTGCTGGCATGGGCTGAAGGATTTTAAGGATGCCATCGATCTGGAACGCAGCATCTGCATGCCAGCCCTCTCAGACAGGTGCTTGGGAAGAGGCCAGGAAAAAAGTTGTCCATAGCCCCATGATGGAAACAAAGAAATTAGTCAACAACCTCTTCCCATAAAAACCTGCGTTAAGGGGAGGAAATCAAGGAGCCAATCTGGGAAACAGCTTGAGGGGACAGGGCCAGCAAAGCCTGGCTTGGGCCACGAGCAATGAGGAGGCAGGACAGGTTTGGGTCCAGCCTTCACACTGAACAGTCCTGATGGTTTTGGGAGGTGGTGGATGGTCACACTACTTTCCTCTTCTTTTTAAGCTTCCTGCTGCTTTTTCTGATGAAACTATCCCACTAAGAGCAGGAGTAAACGTCATTTTGTAGGTGTCTGCAATACAATAAAAGTGCCCCCAATGCAATACATCGTGAAATGCGTAACTGCAGACAGAGATGAATCATGCCACCACCGAGTCAGCTCTCACATATAGCCAGTGTAGGTGTTATTATGGCTGTAACAGGCTTCAAAAGAATAAATCCCACAAAAGCTAGGCTGGCAGCGTTTCCCGTTAGCATTAGTGTAGGTAATGCTGTTCGGATCACCTTCTCATGTTACAATCACTGTTCCTTGAAGGAGGTTTGGCTGTAAACTCCTCCCAACTCCGTGTCAATTCCGAAGGATAACATAAGCGTCAATTAGGCATAAGCATGACTCAGAAGATGAAATATTGCCCTTGGTGGGAAGTCAAGAGAGCATTTTTCCCTTCCTTCGCCAGCACACATTGCCCTACCCACTAGGTGTCCCTGCCAGCCAGGGAAACAGCACACCACAGCCAGGGCTGCATTTGCTTTGTGCCATTTGGCTTCAGCTGAAAACATTAAAAACAAACAACAACCTAGGAAACAGGTTTGAAATAACTTCTTCTTCTTCTTTTTTTTTTTTTTTTTAAACATCCTTTTTGACGCAGCTCCAAATTCACGCACAATGCACAAAATGGAAAAGGCAGCTCTCCGTTTTGCCGTGTGGGGCAATGGGAAGGTTTTGGCCTGAGGGAGCATGGTTTCCCCTCCCAGTTAGCGCTCAGATGAGCTGCTCTAGCCTGAGCACCACCAGCTCCATCCCTCCAACTTTACCTTTGAATTCTGCAGGAGCCAGACAAATCGTACTGTAATCCCTTACCCTGATTTGCTCATCTTTAAAATACGTGCTATTTTAATTTGTTTCCTCCACCATGGAACTGCGAGGTTAAATGAAGGGTGACGATGTTCCTTTTGCTTCCCAGTTAAAAACATGCAAAATTTTTTTAAAAAGCCCAAAAGATTACTATAAATGTGTGGATGTTCAAATCTCACAAAAATATGCCTAATTTGGGTGTAAATAGGGCTTAGGTAGATGCAGGTGTTTATAACCTCAGCATGTATTAGGCATAACACACATGCTTAGTGGCTGCCCCTGTAAAGAAGAGACCTTTTTGCCCAGCTAAGATTTGCTCCAGTAATCCCCAGAGAGCTTCCAGAGGTCAGCAGAGAATCATGGAGGAAAGCAAAGACATTAAAGGAAGCACATACTTGCAGATGTGGTGGCTTCTGCCAGCCCAGGAAGAGGGAGAGGAAGCAGGAGGTAAAAACTTGAAGATATGCTGGGAATTTTTTGTTGCTAAAAATGTTTTGTCTCTTTGTATTACTGAATTGGGGGAGAGAGAAGAAGAAAAAAAAAAGCCTGCTTGATATATAAACTGGAGAAACTCATTCCACATTTTTTTACTTCTCTTTCCTAATCTGTTGAGAAAGGGCAACAGCATTTCCCTGTCTCATGCTGATGCTCACTTATGAACAGCCCAAGATCTTCAGAAAGGAGAAAGGAAAACACACAGCAGAACCAGGTTTTCTGAAGCCATCACACATGACAATTTCTGTATCAGAAGTCTCGTCTGAAGGCTCTGTATTTGGGAGCCATCAACAGAGATTGCAGCCTCTTGTGTTGTGCACTGTACAAACACACAACGAGAGATGATTCCTGTCACAAAGGACTCACTCTCCAAATAGAGATGATGGAGGAAAAAGGAGGGGGGATTAGAAATTAGTTGACTAGCTCAGGGTTGCACAGTTTGGTGGTGACGCCAGAGGCAGAAGCCTGGTATTCTGATTTCCAGCCCAGCAGTCTGCTCTTTCTCACAGACAACCACCTTTTGCTGCTCTAATGCTTAGGGGGTGTTAGCGGCACTAAAGATAATTATATATGACTTGGTATTTTTAACTAGTGGGAGCTTTACATATGGGCACACACCCCGCTGAACTCGGCCACCCCCAGGGACTGTTCCCCCCCTCCCAGCCCTAAAACAGTTTGGAGGGTGCTCAGCTAGTGACTATAAGGTGACCTTCAAAGCAGAAATGTGATACAAGCAAAGGGAAAGGAGGCGGGGGACAGCTCTTGTGAAATCTGGCTGTTGAAACACCTTCATGTCTTGCAACGTAAAGTCAAAAAACTCTTTGTCTTAAAGATTTAAGACTAGACATAGGAAGATCTGTATTTATCTCATATTAATCACCTAGGCAACTGGGAAAGCAGAAGCGAGCTTCACTTTGTAGTGGGTTTTATAATCTGCCAGTTCATTCAAATGCCTTTTTCCGGCACATCAGAAATACATGTGGTCCTGCTGAAAATTTGCATTTTTAAGAAGAAAAATTTTATCAATAAACAACCAGTTTGGGCTTGCGGATTTTTGTTTAACCCAGACATTGTGTGCCTGCATGCCCAGGTAGTTATTTAATGGCCCAGGAACGGCATTAGAAGTAGAGCTTCTCTCCTCATTTTAATTTCTGCTCCCTGGGATCCCATGGTTGCAGCAGCAAGGATGTGATAGAGACCATAGCCAAGGAACGGGCTGGGAACTGCCCTTTCCTTTCCCAGCCCGTAGGGAACAGCTAAAAGCCTCTTGCTCAAGACTCAAAGGTGTTGCGAAGGATAGATCCTGAAAATGAAATAACACTGTGCATACGCAGACCTGAAGCTTTGTGTTATAACCCTGCAACACAGCTGTCAGAAAGCAAAAAACAATGCAGCCTGCCATAGGGTCTTGCAGGAATGAAGTCGTAACTCGTACCTTTATCAAGGGCTCTGTCAGGAAGGAGGCTGTGTCTCTTAGCAAGGGAGAACAGCAAGGTTGTATTTTTCCAAGTGGTTCATTTGAATCTGGGGTTATTTTTGTAAATAAAGGTTAGCATTAGCATCTGCTACTTTGCACAAGCATGTAAAAAAGCATAGGTTGAAATTTCCCTGTTGAAACTTACCTTTTGTCAGACAATGAAACCTTTAAAACACACAATATTTCACAGACAGCTCCTACAATCCTAAAAAAAAAAAAGTTCATTTTAATTAGATTGTTCCTATTCTTGTCCAAATTGCTTTGCTTCTGATAGATTTTGATAGTTTTTACACAGGCTTCTTTATTTTCTAAGTGGAAAAAACCCTCCATCCTGGATGGTCCTTTCCTAGAAGAAAAACATGGTTTTGGTAATGTCTTTATTTACATTGTTTCAAAGCCTATTTTCCTTGAAAGGAAATGTTTATGAGGTTTGGCTTTTCTCCCTACATTTCCTAGGCAGAGTTGCTGGTGCTTTGCTCTCCCTGCCTAAGCCCAACACAAACTCCAAATCATTAGTATTATTTTACTCAGCACAATAGATTTTCTGGGTTTTCTAGCTCATTTACAGCTATGTAGAAGGGGTGTGAAACCCTGATATTCCATTTGGGCAACATTTATAAAAAATCCTCCCTCTCTGACTTTGCAAAGTTATAAATAATTATACAAAAGGCACAAAGCTTTGGATAAACAAGCCAAGTTTATGAGGCTCAGAAACTGAGGGAATTAGGAATTTTTGCATTCACTTGGATGAGTTTTGGTTTAAACACTAGAAAGTCAGATTCATCTGAATATACTGAAAGAACGGAAAAGTTACAAAGCTATGGACAACATGATACACTTCACTCCATGGAGGCTACTGAAGAAGGCATAGAGAAGAAAAAGCACATGATCTGATTCACTACCAAACTCTTCTGCAAAAGAGCACAAACCAAGCAAGGACAAGAAGGAACAGAGCAATCTTGTAAACCCTTTTAAAGGGGATAAATTCATGGTGAGGGTGAAGGGGAAGTGGTGCTTGTGGCCACAGCTCCCAAGGCAGAAGAGGGCAGCGAGCACAATCTGCAGAGCACAGTGCTGTGGGGTGACAGAACCTGCCTCCGTGTACACGGACAAAAAGAAAACCCTCACAGATCCAACATGCAGGCTGCAAGGTGTTTTTTTTGACAAGGTCATACAGCAGTAAAGGGGAAAGAACTGAAGGCATGGACAATTCAGAAAGTGAAAGGAAGTAGTTTTGATGTTTCTTAAATTTACAGCTAATGGAAGGTAGAGATATACTGCTTATACACCAAGATGGAATTAAAAATGAAACATTGCTCACTCTCAGTTATTATCAATAATTAAAATTAATGAAATAAATTCATAATCAGACTGTATCTGCCTTTAAATTATAGCAAGGATCATGACACAGGTTATATCCATGCAATTGTCACCATATGATGACTCTAGGAAGTATTGAAATCTAATTATGTTCCTGAGGAACCATTTGTTAACCTATTAAAAAAGGTAAATAAGAATGCCATTTATTCATTAAAAAGTATGAGCTCTCAGGAGCTTGATACAAGCTTCAGGATCACCGATATGAAAGGAAGTTCTGTGTGCAGAGCAACTATTATCTCCAAACACACCTGTTGAACCTGGGCTCAGAAATTAATAATTGGGCAGTCTTATGTGCAAAGAAAGACTGTGACATTAGCATACAGAAAGAATTAAGGTGGTGGAAAAAAGGAAAGGGATGTTGGAATTTGGCAAGGGAGAAGTTTCTGTGGCATTGGGAGCTAGCTGCTTGGGGGGGGTCTCTCGGGCTTAATAGAAAAAAAAAAAAGAAGATAAATCTACAGGTTACAAATGGAAGTAATATGAGACAGAAGCCATATGTTGTTGTTTCCACTCCCCCTGCTAAAGACATCCTCCCTAAAGTCTTGATTGAGGAATGGGTTGTAAATCACAGAAGAGGCAGGATGCAAAATTCAGCAACTGACACTAGGCTAAATCTATAATTGGTAAAAAAATGGTTTGGGGCAGTTTATTAGCTTCTGCTTTGCTGTTCATCATTCTCACAAGTTCGTAACATAGTACAAGGCTGTAAGATACCCATCTGTCTATTAATAATTGATTTAATGTAACATACAAAGTATGTGTAATCTGTTTCCTTGTTCCTCCATTTAATATAATCCATGAATCATGGTGACCAGTAAAGAGGTTGATTGACCACATGATGCTAACTCTTTTCCTAACTCCAGCTGCTGACTTGCATTTAAGAAAGCTAAATGTCTACTGAATACTTTGTGGTTATAACAGAGATGCTGTGGAAAAGGGAGACAGTTAGTCAGTGGAGTAACATAATGTTCGCTTTTGGATAAGGGCTTGTAACTCTGCCTTCTGCTATTTCCAGTAGTCCGGAGTCTGCTCAACATTGGATACTAAAAGAATTGTTGTCAAACATAGACCTCTCTCTTTTGGGCCCAGTGTCTTGTTAATCCCAGACCTAGAGAAATGTTTAACTTGCAGGAAGCAGCTGCTTTTATTCTCAACGTGTTGATACAGGTATCAGTATTACGATATATATCTACCCCACAAAAGATTTCCTATTTTCAGTACCTTTTCAAGGTGAGGAACTGTTACTCTGCCTCTTTTACTAATAAGGAAATAGGGCAGAGAGAATATGTTGAGAACCTGGCTTTTAATTATACTATTTCAAGCACTTCTGCTCGTGCACATATGTGTGTTTTTCACCAATGCCAAGATTTTCACTCAATGAGTGTCACTTCCTTTGTTAGCTCCAAATGTGCAGAGGTTGAAAGGGCATCTTTATTAGTGAAAAATCTTTCAAGGACTTTTATAAATCATTCAAACTTCTGGTTGAAAATGTTTCCTTTCACACACTTCTTAGTGCCAAATACGGGCCCATCTGGAATCATTATTAATTCTGTTGAACTGTTTAATTCCAAGTGGGGTTTTTTTTTGGTTTGGTTTTTTTTTTTTTTTTAAAGAAAGACTTGATTCGATATTTTATAACCATAATTGGAATAGCGCATTAAGACAAAACAGCTCATTTTTTTTTATTCCGGGAAATGGCAAGCAAAACATCTTGTACTCAATCAGTTACATTAGTAGAGTAATGTTGAAAAATCTTGTAGCTACCCCCAAGTTTAATTCTTCTTTTACATTTAATTTACATACACACAGAAATTAAAATATTATTTGGGGGCTTAAGAAATCTTAAACAGTTTGGAGGACTTTTTTATGCATGCTTCATTGGGCACATCAGCCAGAGATTTAGAAGAACAGATGCCCTGACACTGAAATGCCCAAGCAAAGTGCAAAACATACTCTTCCATATACAAACTGGCATCAAAATGGTTGTTTCAGCTTTATCGTCAGGAATGAACTATTAAATTCAGTTTGCAAGCAACCTTCCATTCACATTTCAAAAAGACAAAGGCAAACCTTGTGAACAATCAGCATTTTTACATAAATCTGCTTACCTAGCTTATTCTTGCATTAAACATTGCCTGTAAACTTGTGAATTATCTTTAGGATTTGTACGCACACGTTCAAGGGAGGGGAATGGTGAAATCTTGCTGTTATTGACATCAGTAGAATAGTTGCCACTGACTTAAACTCAGGTCAGATTAGAACTTCTCTGCATAGTTCTCCATATGCAAGTGATGTGGAAGACACTTAGGTTGTATGCTTGGCTCTTTGGCAGTCGCACTGACGAGCAGTCACGTGTGTTCATACATACGAGGTGTTGCATAGCCTACTCAGTGCAGTCAGGCAGCCTGGAAACACAGAGCCAGCAAAGGGCAGAGCTTGCATCCACAGCAGCTTGTAGATTAAAGCAACAAAAGGTTTTCATCCCTAGAAGCAGGTGATTAATGTTCAGCTACAGAGACCTGTAGGTATGGAACCACTCAGTTTTTAGAGTGATGAAATTATAAATTCATAGCCAGACTGTCATGATACAAATTAGTCTCAGCATTCATTTCTTTGGCAAAACTCCCATTCTTTGGATGCCTTTCTGGTGGAATTTACTGTGACATGAAAGATATCCAAAACACAGATAAAAGGAGTACTTTCCAAATTCAAAATTCACTACAAGTGTTCACCATAAACTCAACATAAAATAAGCTGGAAGGGAGCTTTCATGTCTCTGGTCCATAACAGGGCTCAAAATAGGGTCAGCTTTGAAGTGAGATGAGGTTACTCAGCCCCTTATCCAAGTAGGTTTTGAATATATTCAAGCATGGAGAGTCTACAGCCTCTCTGAGCACCTGTTCTAGTGCTTGACCATCTTCACTATGAAGCTCTTCTCCTTATATCTAATTGGGATTTATCTTGCTGCAGCTGGTGTTCACTGCACCTTGCCCTTTTGCTGTGCACTCCTGAGAGTCTGGCTCCATCTTCTCTATAGCCACTTATTAGGTTGTTACGGAGAGTAATAAGATACCCCCTTAGCCATTTCTGTGCCAGGAAGAACAACCAGCTTTCTCAACCTGTCCTTGTACACCACATGCTTCAGCTCCCTGAGCATTCTGGTGGCTGTTGCTGAACTTGCTCCAGTATAGAATCATAGAACGGTTTGTGTTGGAAGGGACATTAAAGACCATCTAGTCCCAGCCCCCCTGCCACGGGCAGGGACACTTTCCACCAGCCCAGGGTGCTCCCAGCCCCATCCAACCTGGCCTTGAACCCTTCCAGGGAGGGGGCAGCCACAGCTGCTCTGGACAACCTGGGCCAGTGTCTCACCACCCTCACAGTAAAAATGTTCATGCCTTCCTTGTAGTAGGAAGCTTAAAACTGGCCACAGCCCTGCAGACATGGTCTTACCATGTCTGTGCTGAGTAGGAGGTCGTAATCACTTCCCATAGCTGCTGCTGCACTCTTGCTAATAAAGCCAGTATGCTGATGGCCTTCTTGGCCATGAGACCACACTATGGACTCCTGTTCAACTTGTTGTCTATCAGGACCCCCGAGCCTTCCCTTCAAAGCTGCTTTCTAGCCAGTTGGACCCAGCCTGTGCTGTTGCACGGCATTATTCCTTGGTTGGTGCAGGACTTTGCATTTGCCTTTGTTGAACCTCATGAAGTTTCTGTCAACACATTTCTCCAGCCTGTTGAGATCCCTCTTCAATGCCCTTCCCTCAGTGTATTGACTGTTCCCCCAGTTTTGGGTCATCAGTGAACTTGGAGAAGGTCCATCCT